AGCGCCCTCAGCCACGATTACTGCTGAAGTGCCACTCACCATACGAAAGTAGTTGTAAATGTAAGTTTGGTCGACATATGTAAACTCAGAAAGCATTTCCTTCCAGTTTTCCATTCACATCAACATTTTAAGGTTCTTCTGAAAATCGTTAACGTGAGAAGCAAAGATTTACAAAATGTCATTTTGTTCGCTACTTTTCGATCTTTAAGTCAAGCGAGTGGTTGTTGTGGAGAGATTTGGTGAAAATATTTGCATGCAGGCGTTACGAAACAGAAGAGTTAGTTGAAATACCTTGACAAATTAAGAGCCGTATGCACTAGTCAATATTCTCAGACATACGGTTTATTTTTATAGGACGTGTCAGTCCTCCGGAACCATCGGGAGTTAAAAATCATCCCACAGATTTCCTGAACTACTTTTGTGAAGTTCGCGCATACTGTCACCGTGTAGACGCTTCTAAAGTCTCAATACCTGGTCACTAGCGATCCTCGGATTTCTGTCTTACTGGCTTGCAGAGGGTATCTAGTGGTTGTAATTAGCAAAGCGTTACTCATTCTCTTAGCTGCAAAAACAAGACACCATTCAACGCGCGCACTATGCAAATTTATCGACGTCCTTTGGATTTTATATCACCGTATCTAGAGAAACCCAGTCTGACAGTCTGATAAAGTTACCAAAAATAGAATTAAATGGCATAATCACACTGACCCCTCAATCGGAGCTGAGGGTCAGGGGTGGGAGCGAACCCTAGTTTTTACTGCGATAACAAAAAGTGATTTTTTTCATAACACGAATTTTGAATTCCACCTGTTGATCCGAGGCAGATGTTCATGAAATTCACGTTTGATTGGGCCTTCATGTCCTCAGCGAACACACTAGACATCACATCCCTTCAAATACTGTCATATATGAGACGTACCTTACCATGACAATGGATTTTTCAGAAATAATGATTGACATGCATCCGCAGTCGTTTGTGTACTTGGACTACATTTCACAAACTGTTTGTAAATGCCACGAACATAAGAAATTGCTGCGGTCGAAAACTGAATTTCACAGTTGCTGTTATCAGCAGTGGGACGTAAACGGAGCTGTTTCTGTAATTTCTAAGGAACTCGCCAAAGCAGTCCCAAATGTGATCCTTTTGTTGACTGGGATCACTAGGGCGCTTGAACCCGATAAAGAAGCAACTGATTCAAAAACGATGGGGCAAAGTCGAACGACTGTCGTTTGTAGTTAAATAGACCCAAGAAATGCAGATCCAAATAATCACCATCGCATATGCTCCATGACTTCGGTACACTACTTACTGGAAGAATTTGTTTGTGAACATTCTCTCCAGCCGGTAATAGACTGTACATGATTAATAGACGGCAGTGATTATATGACTGAATCGTTATTGAAGTGGTAACTACATCAGCCTTCATAAAAGTACCTAAAGATCAAAACAAAATTAGCAAATATTTATGCATGCATACCTCGAAATAGGTCAAGCAAAAAGTGAATTTTTGCTTGGGATTGTTTACCAGACCCACTGCCAGGAAACGGAAGTAGGAACTCCCTGTGGTACAAGGGATTTTATGCCAAATTCCAGAGGAATTAGGACTAGGGCTAAGGTTACAGTTGGGGTAAGGGTTAGTGTTGGGGCAAGTGTTAGTGTTAGGAAATTGGAATAGGTTCCTTCCTGGATCTTAGCACAAGGCCTACCTGTCTTAAGGGGCGTACTTTCCTATTCCCTTGACCACATAAACGATCTATACCGACATTTCCTGCAAGCGAGTGGGAATTTTTCCGGTTCAGTCAACAAAATTTAAGTCACCTAAGTGAGCGCACTGGTGCTGCCTCATATTTGACCAATTCTGTCAATGCACACAATACGATGCAATTCACAGGCACCGAACGTTCGGAGACATTGACTTCTTCAATAGCAGTGAAAATGCGATTCCCAGACGAGGAGCCCAGACAGAGGTTTACAGGAGATCTGACGCTTCGAGTAGTGACTGCCGCTACCCATCTTCAGAGACCGGAAAGTCATGCACATAGTCCTCATCATATGACAAACTTTACTTAATGCAATGGTGAGGCCGGAGGGAAAAGAATCGCAATTAAGGCATAAAGATAAGTAGGATATAACAGCGAGACAACAGTTTGTATCTGCTTCCTTTGAAGCCTAAGAAAGTGGGATTATTTTTGTTCACCATGAAACGTTTAACATTATCCAGTCAGGTCACATTGGTTGCCCTGATATTTCTGGCTTACAGGTAACATCAGCCCGTCTTAAAAACGTGGAGACCCACATTTTTACCGTGTGCATTTCCGAAACTCGTTTAAATGTCTACGGAAAAGCAGAAAGTGGATTTTTATGAAGAAGATGAGAGATTTATCGGCGGAACATCTACGAGGATTCATTGTGGTGAGAGGACAGTTTTCTGCAGCATTTGCCAAGCAACATTATGTCTTAAGAGCAAACCCCTTTGCCTTTGAAAATTTCCAGAGCATTATACGGGAGCACTGCTGTAAATTTACGAGAAACAATGCTGGCTGTGAAAATAGGTGTAAAACAAATAGATTAATTTGTTTTAGCGACAGGTATTTTCAGGCATTTGTGGAACTTTACAGAAATAAAGAAGCATTAAGGTATTCCTGAACCAACATAGAAAAAAACCGCCTGCAGCACAACTTTTGTTTGAACTGCTTTTGAAATGAATGAAAAGCTACTCAAAAAAGAACCGAGTCTTAAATGAGAAGACGATAAAAGTTGGAGGGTTATTTTGAAATAAGAGAACTGAAATTACTTATAAGGTACAGCCATCGGAGCACAGTACCTAGTTTTTTTAAGAAAGCTCATTTAGACTGTCTACCAACTACTTGTCACGGGAATGGGCGTTGTTTTGATTCTCCTATGCACAACGCAGACACCACCCCCATTACAAAAATTCGTAGACGCACAGATGAGCGGGACGGAAGGACAAAAGATAATGATCCAGAAGATTCCCACGGGTTTGTGGTTGGCGTAGCTTAATAATAACCAATGTATGTTGGGATAGGTGCTCCAGGAAAATTTCCAAGGGCATCTTTGACGGTATGTGACTCAGTCGTCTGCCTATGACCTTCCCCCGCCCCTGAGCTAACCCACTGCCTGTCTGCGGTTATAAATGCATCCGCAGCTTTAGAATTCGGCTGAGTCAGCGTTAACGCAGCCTCGTGTCATACCAGCGAACTCCCATCTCCGTGTCCTACCGCCCCATGAACGTCACGATCATGCATGTGGAACTAATCGTGTCTGCTGACCGACGATAGTTCCACGATCTTGCTGGTTCTTGATTCAGATTTACCCCAGCGCGAGTGTTGCCTCTTACTTCACGCAGAGACCTGCCTAATCACTAATATCACCGCTTAATTCGGTTCTCAACTTGAATCCGGTCAAACGACATGCAAATAATTCAGCGTTTGATCGTAACACCTCGGAAGCACTCAGGTTTTCAGTTTGAGTGCGCTGTTCCTGATGATAAGGGACATCATTTAGCATGCTCTGAACCATCAATAAAATCCTGGTGCGTTGAGAGAGTCAATTTACTCCCTGAAAAGTACTGGCCGATGTGCGTGCTAATGCGTACAATTTTGTGGCCCGTGATAGGCGTTGGTATGGGACATTCTGAATGAGAGTACAGTTCATGGGTTCGTTATAACGTTGTCTGCATTTACCCACATCCCTGTCTATGCACCCGCCAACAAACATATATTCGATTCATGAACTCACCTTATATTCTTCTTTGTTTTCTTTGGGAGTGACTGAGGCGACATATATATATGCACATAAAAAACTTCGGAGGACCATTATCTTCAAATAGGGAACGCAGGTATTTCACCTTCTTCTACCCATTGTCATCGTGTTTGAAGCCGCTGTAAGAGGACTTGGACACAAGTGCGCTTATGACCAGCAAGGAAATTGTTTTTGAAGTGGAGCTGGGCATAGTGTTAGTTGCCTTACCATAGACTGCTGCCGTTTTCTTCCTGTATACTATCTTTGCAACTTGGATGTCAACTGGATGTTAGGAAAGATCGACTTCAACAGTTCCATGAAGGCCTTAATGTTGTTCCCTGTGGCCACGACGAGTGTAGAGTCCCCATATCTGGCCCAGAATTTCAGGGAGTACGATCGGAAGATCATTCCAGACAAAGTTGAGTTCATTGGTGTCTCATTCTTTCGTTCTTAAAGCTGGCCGTTAAATGCGAAAAAAAGTCTTAAGGCACAGTTTCAGGAGCTTGACGAAGTTCACACGCCTGAGCTGTTGGTCAGTCTCCCCACTTTCTCGGAGAAGACTGCCAATGTTGTCGACAGCTCCTCAGCGTTCCTCACTTTCTTTCAGCACATAATGTTAGGGCAGTTACTTCCCTCAGGGTTAAATGAGTGAATTCGCAGAAAATTCTTCAGCATATCATATTTCACGTTCAGCCCACTGTTGACGTGAATATTGGCGGTGAAATCCATTGGAGTCAATGGAATATCCGCGTAATATTCTCAATCCACCAAAAAGCTCTCAACAATATGTAAATATAGATTGATTCATAGCTGAAATAGACTCACAGTGGTCCATTGGCTTCTTGACACAAACAACCTCAAAAAACGAGGGAAAGGTCACAAAATTGCCGTCACAAAACAGGCCGAGCTTGGCGAACATATAGCGGTAGAGGGGATGTCGAGACAAGCGCGAAAAGATTGGTTGACCGCAGATGACGGTTAGCGTAACGGCTGGCCGAATGAAGGCAGCGTAGTAAAGAACATTGTCGTAAAAATCCAAGGTGGCTGTGCCGGTCTTGCCTATACGAATGCAGATATGAGTACGTATATGGGTATGTGTACACATGTGTGTGCACAATACATCGAGACCAACGGCTTTATTGCCGTGATTTTTCAAAAGCGCATAAACTTCCATTATGGGAGGTGGGTGCTGGACTGCGCCTCACGATCTTTGAAGGGTGACTGTCATATTAACCCGTCATTTCTGCAGTCTCCGCGAAAGCGGAGGAGGAGGAGAGAGGGGGGAAGAGAAGGCTTCGTCCACCTCCAGTCCTCTCGTTTGGTTAATTCGTCGGTGGCCGGTCTGGTCATCGTCCGCGTCCACATTAACCTCGGTTTCTGCCTCTGGGTCGCTATTCTCGTTCGCACTGCTCGTCCGTCTGGACAGTGGCTTCTGCGCCGGCGTTGACGGCTGAATTTTAGTACGATCCGGGTCGTTGAGTATCTACTTGCGTGTCTGCCGCGTGTCAGATGGGCTCTAACTTCCCGTCTGCTCTTCTGTTGACTGAACTGTGTCTGGGGGTTTGGTAGGCCCCAGGAAGGGCCACATAATAGTTGATGGACGTTATCCCCGTGTGTCAGGCCTCAGTTGTTTCTCTGGCTGTGCGGTAATTCTTTCTGTGCAGGATTTCATCATCCAGGAAGGCCAAGGGCCAGTGACAGATAAGCCAATAATCTGATAGATGTTTCCATACACTGACCGTTTTTCCTAGGCCGTTGTACGGTTGAGTATCGGCAGCACCCGCAGACAGGAGTGTCTTCCTAAATCAAGACATAAGACAGAAGCCTCCTGCCACAAACGAAAGGACGAACGTCACTTGCCAGATCGACTGTACCTCTTCAGAGGCTTACTGTGAGCGGCATAGGATGACACCCCAGGGCGGTAAAGAGGGTGGTGTCGCTGTCTTTGGCGGCAGAACACTGCGCAAATTCTGGGCGGACGTAAACATTCCAAGATTCTCGGTAATCCTGAGTTGAAGGGAAGACAGCCAGAGAAGTAACCGAAATTTGAAGAGGATAGCATCCATAAATCATTGTGCCTGACCTCCCGCGGCCTAAAGATTCACCGGACGGAAGAGCAGACGAGAACCTGGGCTAAAGACGAACCCACACACAGGCGAACCCAAGCCAGCCACGCGCGTGGACACACCACAACCCGAATCGGGCGAAGGTGCAGGCGTCAAGATCGGCGTAGCAACCACTTCCCATACAAGCGTGGATAGGTTCGGCCGAGGAGTACGAAGGAGAATAGCGGTCCAGAGGCGGCAGCAAAGGTCTATGTTAACGCGGGCGATCACATCGACGCCCGAACACCGGCCCCGACGAATCAACGTGACAGGAGGCGTGGAGATAGACGACGTCCTCCTCCTCCTCCGTCTTTACGGAGGTTGCCGAGGTGAATTTGTCACTACCGCCACGCTAATATGACGGTCACTCTAAAGACCAGGAGGAGCAGTATAGTGCTCATATCCTGTGATCAGAGTTTTTCTGGTTTGGAAATGGCGGGACAATAAAGCCGTCCTTCCGAGATTGCCCTATTTTTCTCATTTATGCTTGAGAACACGTGACTTTATCTTTATTTATACTAATTTAGAAGGAGGGTTGCTGGTATAGGCAGGAGAGGCTGGGGTAGACATGTCTGGCTCATTAGTGCGTAGCGTATAGTTTGAAACATAAACTGGCATTCTGGAATATTATATGAGTTAGAAAGGATAACTTAGGTGATTTTGTAATAATGACTATCATATAGCATATTCCTGGAATTTAGATAGTCATTTCCCACGACGTCCACCGTGTGCTCAACAGTTGTCTGAGAACAGGGACGGTGACTTACGTGAGGATTCGTTTGTGATGATAGTGAATTTGCTGAGCAGCTAACGCACTCCCTCCTCACCACCTGGGTCCGGTGTCATAACAGAGTCAAGAAGACCGGAAGCGAGAGAGGGCGCAGGTGACTGGCACGACAAAGACCCTCACCTAGGCGTGCCACCACATCCCCTGGTTCAAAGCATAAAATTTACCAGGTTTTTTCTCCAACAGCAACGAGATCGGATCCCACTGAGTGGGAATTCTACAGAGACCACGCAACAACGACTCACTTCGTTGGCCGCTGCGAATGCCTCTGAGACGGCTTCCTCGTTCGTGATGCGCGCCACCATCTCATTGTGAGCTGTGAATAGCTCAGAACATCCGGATTTCTGTTTGATTTTCCAGAGACCATCGCGATTCACCGTATCGTCAGATCCACGAAGGTGGTGTAGAGGTGGACCCGCGTCTCCCAGCACTTTTGATTTAGCTGACGGGCGACGTAGACCACGTCGATGGCTCCGCGGCATCGTCGGAATTCACACTGACTTTCCGTAGGAAGTCCTTGCTCTAGATGGCCCGTTGAGGAGGATGCAAACGAAGATTTTTCTGGCGATTTTGAGAAGTGAGATTCCTGTGTGATTGTTGCAGAATTGCCGGAACCCTGGTTACTTGGAGAGGTGGAAGACTGTCGCGTCCTTAAAACCCTAAGAAACGTGTCCCTGACGCCACGTCTCCTGGGAAGGCGCTATAAGTTGGTCTATCGGTCGGCGGCAGTCGTGCTTGTAAACTTCAACCGGGATTGCGTTGGAGCTCGGTGCTTTCGCGCTGGAGGATTGGGACACGGCGCGGGTGATTTCTA